AGAAAGAATTGAAAAAGATACAAATAAGTGGAAGCACACACCATGTTCCTGGGTAGGGAGAATTAACATCATTAAAAGGTCCAGGCTATCCAAAGCAATCTATAGATTCAACAGAACTCCTATCAAAATACCAATGACATACTTCAGAGAACTAGAGCAAATATTTCAAAAATTTACATGGAACCACAAAAGGCCCTGCACAGTGACAGCAATCCTGAGAAAGAAAAACAAAGGTGAAAGAATTATGCTACCTAAAAATCAAACTATACTATAAGGCCATGGTAATCAAAATAGATGATACTACATAAAAACAGATACATAGATCAATGGAACAGAATAGAGAGCCCAGGAATAAACTTACACCTTTTTAGTCAATTAATATTTTACAGAGGAAGAAAGCACATACAATGGGCTAAAGACAGTTTATTCAATAAATTGTGTTGGGAAAATTGGACAGGTACATGCAGAAAAATGAAATTAGACCCACTTCCTTACACCATACACAAGAATAAATTCAAAATGGATTAAAGACTTAAATGTTAGATCTGAAACCATAAAAATACTGAAACAGAACATAGGCGGTAAAATCTCAGTTCAGACATTGCTCATAGCACTTTTTATCTAATACTATCTCCTCAGGCAAGAGAAACAAAAGAAAAAAGTAAACAAATGAGACTTCATCAAACTAAAATTTTTGCACAGCAAAGGAAACCATCAACAAAATAAAAAGACAACCCACAAAATGGAAGAACATTTTTGCCAATACATCTGATAAGGGGCTAACATCCAAAAGTTATAAAGAACTTATAAAACTCAACACCAAAAAACCAAACAATGCAATTAAAAGATGGGCAAAGGACCCAAATAGACACTTCTCCAACATGAAAAGATGCTCAATGTCACTAATCATCAGAGAAATGCAAATTAAAATCACAATAAGTTATCACCTCCCACCAGTCAGAATGGCTATAATCAATGACTGAACAAATAACAAATGCTGGCAAGGATGTGGAAAAAAGGGGAACCCCTTTGCATTGTTGGTGGAAACGCACACTGTTCCACACTGTGGAAAGCAGTGTGGAGGTACCTCGAAAAATTAAAAAGGGATCTGGCTTTCAACCCAGCCATCCCACTTCTGGGGACATATCTGAAGAAACCCAAAACACTAATTTGAAAGAACATAAGCGCCTCTATGTTCACTGGAGCATTATTTACAGTCGCCAAAATATGGAAGCAATCCAAGTGTTCATCAGTAGATGAGTGGTTAAAACAACTATGGGACATTTACACAATGGAATACTACTCGGCCATAAAAAAAAAAAGAAGAAAATTTTACCCTTTGCAACAGCATGGATGGACCTGGAGAACATTATGGTAAGTGAAATAAGCCAGTCAGAGAAAGACAAATGCCATATGATTTTACTCAGTTGTGGAATTTAATGAACAAACTGAATTAACAAGCAAAACAGAGACAGACTCACAAATAGCAGGAGGACAGCACAGGGGTGGAGATTGAGCAAAAAGGAAAAAGGACTCACGGACATAGACAACAGTGTGGTGATTGCAGGGGGCAGGGGGAAGGAGGGCATAAGGGGGATAGATGGTAACGTTAAAATACAATAAAAATAAATAAATAAAAACAAATTTTGCAACTTTGTAAATCTAAAATTATTTAAAAATAAAAAATTTTAAATGAGCAATTTTTAAAAGCCTTGTTGTAAGAAATAAATACAAGGTCAAAAATTTAATACATTGTCTACTTCTTTGCAGGCATAATCCCTTCACCTCATGGCCATGCTTAGAGTCGTCAAAACACAGTGGAAACTGTGTTAGTACTGGCCACACCCAGATCGGGCAGCGAATAATGAAGAGTGTTGTTCAAGTGTGATAAAATGGGGTCATTCTATATTTCAATTGAATGATTATACACATTCTGGCAAAATTCTACTAACTATCAGTATTTCACTCTTTGCACAATAAAACCATAAGTTGGTGTTTAAAGAAGTATGAATTCTGTTTGACTAATGATGATAGGCTTTTATTTACCTAATGCCATCAGCATTTAAACATAACATGTCAGACCTTCATTCTGACTCTGCAACTACTCTCATCTTGTCAGACTTCAACAGCTTTCTGTCATGCAACACCTGGCAAAATAAACCGTTTTCACATAAATTATAGGCATCTCAAAATGACAATTGCTTGATACTCTGTTATTTCTGTTTTCTTACTATTTTTTATTTCAAACCTGAGTCTATATCTAGCCTTGAGGGGCAAAAGCCTAACTCTGAGACAATTAAAGGCCCCCGAATGCCATGTTTACTAGCCAAGATTTTGCGTTTTTGAGAAAACCACCTAGGGATTGTAGTTTCCAACAACGGAGATACGGCTCCTCCACTTATGCTTCTCACCTCAGGGAGTAACTGTGCAGCCAAAACTAATAACGAGCAACTTGGCTATTTTTTAGTTTTAGATAGAATCATCCATATGAGAAATATACATTTCTTTCTATTATACCATTCTCTTGCAAAATAATTTTTGTTTTCTACAAAGGTTATGAGATATCATAAAAATGTCTAATGCATCTGGTTTAAGAATCCAATTCTTCCTTCACATATTTCTGCATCTGTTCACAAAATCTCTTTGACTTCAAAGAAAGCTTTTCAAGAGAAAAAGAAGATACACACGGGAAAAGTGGCCATAAATTTTTAGTAGTCATTTTCTAAGGCCATTTTAATAACAGCACTGTGGGACAAGTATCTCTGTGAGACCTAAAATATCCAGATGATATTAATGACTATGGATTTATACGGAGATTTACACTTTAAAATTTTATTCAGGGTCTAAAAGTGATATATCTTCAATTTAAAATATATGAAAAATATGGAAAGCCTAAAGAAGAAAACTTAAATCATTTTTAATCCACTGCTCAGGAAAACCTAGCAAAACAAAAAAAGAATGGTTGGCTCTGGCCAGGTGGCTCAGTTAGCTGGAACGTTGCTCCCTACATCAAAAGACTGGGGGTTTGATCCCTGGTCAGAGTACATGCCTAGGCCGTAGGTTCAATCCCTGGTGGGAGTGCGTACAGGATGCAACCGGTCAATGCTTCTCTCTCACATCGATGTTTTTCTGTCTCTGCCTCTGTCTTCTCTCCCTCACTCTCTCTATAAAATCAATAAACATACCCTCACGTGAGGATGAAGGAAAAAAATGGTTGTTTACTTCCAGTCTTTTTCCTGTGCATATATTTACATATTTATTTATAAATATAATGTTGTAAATGCACTGTTAATGCAATTTTGTGTCTCTTTTCAATTGGTCTTCCAAAAGACTGTGTTAGCCCTTCAAACCATCATTTTTAATGACTGAAAACTATATGTAGATTTATACTTTAGAAGATGCTCTCACGTTTAATTCTTACTCTAATCAAAGCTAAATCAAAGGTTTGGAAAACTAATCTGCTCTGCGAATCCTACATCTTGAAACAATCTAGAATAGTTGATTAATTTTAAGATAACCATATTTGTAAATGCCACTGAAACAATAGATGCTTAAGAATTTTTTTCTTTAACACTGATAATTGTTAAACTGATAATGCTTTAGTCCCCTTACCCTCCCTGGGCAATCATTAGAGGGCTCTAGTTTCTTTTCCTTTTCTCTTTGATTCTCTATTTGACATCCTTAGCTCTTGAGGTTAGAGTGAGAGGAAGTTGGGGTCTAAGGCTTAGTTACTTTGAGACCTTAGGTTTTTAACATGGTGCTATTGGCTATAAATATAGTAATCAACCAATTCTGGTTCTGCAGATTCAGACCCTGAAGTTTCAAAGAGGGGAGTATTTGATGGATTTATCTAATTTGAATCAAATCGTCCCTAACATTGCTGCCTGAAATTTGAAATAATAACATTTAAATAGCTCTTTTGTTGATGAAGATTTTTCAGTATAATATTCTTCATCCTTACAAGAATCTTGTTAGGCTCATATCAATGAAGAAACGTAGGTACAGAACATTAAGTGATTTATGGGATGATTAGAAAAACAAGTTGAACTTAAATCTTGGACTTCATAGTCTCATTGCTGTAGTCTCATTTGATTCATAATCATGAAGCCATAGATTTTTCCAAAGTTTGAAATAACATAAAAGTGTCAACCAGTCCAACCCTCCTTCCACCCATTTTGCTAGAGAATAAACCCTGTGAGATTAAATGACTTGTCATGTCATACAGCTAGCCAGTGGCTGGAAAATCTACCTCTGGTTTCCTTTCAGTCTAATGCTCTTTCCAAGATACCACTTACCACACAAAATCCTCACACCTACACAATATAACAATGAATATGCAAAGATGCCAGGAAGCCACCCAGTAATCACAGAATCTTACATTTTTTCCTACTTCCCATTAGATAGCCCCTAAATGATGCATGGCAAATGCCTACCACTGAGATTACACACTTGTCTTTTGCCATAGCGTAAAATTCCAAGCACTGACGGACAGAGTGAAGGCCTTGTCATGCTCTCAGCACGAGAGTTACGGTAACAGCAGTGCACGGGACAGGACGACGCACTTTGGCAGATCTACTTTGGAGTAAATAGGGGGAACCAGAGTAGAAAATGCACTGCCACAGGGCGGACGGCAGCGGCTGCACCAGTTTAAACCTCCCGATTCCTAAGAAGACGTCTTCGCTAGTTTCTCCGCGGGGTCTAGGCTTGCTGTTAGGGTGAGGACCAATTGACAGCATTTGGACCCTAAGAAGGTGGGCGGCCCGACTGCGCCGGCAGCGGAGCGCTCCTCCCACCAGGGGCGCGTTACGTCACCACGCATCCTTACAACGTCGCCACGTTCCGGGCAGAAGGGTAGTCTTAAGCAGGTCGATGTTAAGAGAGTAGCAGCCCGGTACTCTGTAGATGAAACCGGAAGAGAGAAGCAAGTGGAAAGAGGGAGGAGAGACGGGACGGACCTAGCAGGATGGGAAACTTGCGGGAGAAGGGCCAGCCTTGATTACCTGGGGAGGGAGGGCAGCTTCTGGTCCTTTGTGAAGTGCCCGGATGAAGCTCCAGCACCCACGCGTCTTCCGCATTGAGTGCAGCGCCATCTTGAGGAGGGCGGAGCCTTCTTGTTTTGAGTGACGTCTGCTTGAAGAGCCAGTCGCAGATTCTCTGCTGTTTGCTTGCTGCGCCTGCGCTGTAGCCGCGTAGCAGCTGCAGGGGTCGGAGCGTGGGGGGTGCCAGTCTCCTCTTTGCAGAGGAGGTGGGTACAGGAGTGGGGTGGGGCTTGACTTCAGTGTTTCCGTTGGAGACCTAGTCTTTGCTCAGGCTTCCTGGAGGGAGAGGCTCCTTCGGGTATATCAGTGGCGGCGTTTTAGACCGGAAGAAAGTCCAGGAAGTTGCTTTTCAGATCCTAGTTATTCAGGGGCAGCTTTAAAGAAGTTTCTGCAGGACTGGGGCCTACGCAGTCCTATTAGAGAGCAGTAAGTGCTCTCTTGAGACCTATGTGACCTCAATTCATCCATTCTGCAGACACTAGGCACTGAAGGTACAGAGACAGACGTGTTTCTTTCAACAAGCGCATGGCCTAATGGGGAAGTAGGAAAATAAGTGATGCAGTGCTTTAGGTGTTATAGACACCAGAAACACACACCAAGATTGGAGAGGAAGGGTGGTTGTGGTTGTACTTCTCCCTGTCCAGGAAAGGGAATTGGTTTGTTTTGGGTTAAATTATGAGAAGAGTTAACACAGTACTCCTGCATTTGTTAATGCAACCCCAGAGCTCTCAGATGTGTAACATACGGGTCAGTAAAAGCGCAACGAAGAGATTCGTCAGAATTCCTTTATGTGTTTTGTTGTATTTATCCACTGAATGAATACTAAAAATAACCACATTTCCATAGGGAGAGTTAGGAGACAAATGGAATAAGGATGCCCATACTCTTAAAGGGACTGAAATCTAATAGGTTAAGTCAAAATTTATAAATCAAAACCATACATTAAAATCTCATAAGAGTGGTACAAAGTACTGCTGAAGTTCAAGCATAATTGGTGTAATATAAGCAGGAAAGAAATTGTAGGGATGACGGCAAAAAAAAGCATCTAAGGAAATCAAGTCTCATTTTTCAACAAAACTGATCAGTTTGTTTTTGTCTGTTAAATTTGAGGTGCTTGTAGTACTCCCAAATGTGACGCCCATTAGATATATAGGTCTGGAGCTCAGGAGAGAGGTCTGACCTACGAAATAGATGGTAATTGAAACCAAGGAAGCCTTGGAGACTGCCAGGTAGTGTTTGTGGAATAAACGTGGACGGCTAGATGATGGAAATGAAAAGGAGTAGGCAAAAGATATTTTAAAATCCCTAAAATGTAATGCTGAAACCCAAGAAAGAGATTTTGCCAGCAGAAATACAGTGTCCCTTGTAAAGGTAACATTTTATAAAATGCCTAAATGTTTGTACTCACACACACAGCAAAACATTAAAATGTAGTTTGTTTTACAGATGTTATTAATTAGATTCAGTGACCTTAGGAATTAGTAAGATTAGATTTATGACATCCTACACCATCTGGATTGTAAAAGCCTAAAAATAAGATGAGGGTTACAGCAGATAGCTGTCAAAAGGCCTGCCTACTTTATTCCTCAAACAGTAATTTCAGTCTTTTATCTGCTAAGGCTCACATGACTGATAATTTCAAGGGAGACATACTCCCATTGAAGAAGGTGTATCAGAACACAGTGTAATCATTTCAATATCTGTATTTTTTAAGTAAATTATTTCCAAACTTAGAAGTAAGTTTGAAATGATAAATTTGTGTTTCCTACCACAGTGGTGACCTGGTACCTCTTATATCTATTTTTTTTTAATTTATTGATCTTTTTCAGAGAGAGAAATATAAACTTGTTATTCCACCTATCCGTGCATTCATTGATTGCTTCTTGTTCTGTGCTCTGAGGGGAGATCGAACCCACAACCTTGGCATATGGGGACAACACTCTAACCAACTGGGCTCCCTGGGCAGGACTGACCTGATGACTTAGGTGTCATCCAGCCAGCAAGGTTGCTCCTTGGACGGGCTGTACTTTTACAGTATTTCTTACACTTCCCCCGGTTTGTAATCTAGTGCCTTACATAGAGTAGGCATATCTTTTAAATCTAAATTTTATTTTGACAAAGTACACAAATCACTGTCAGAGGTTGGAAGGCTTTTCACAGCCAGAACGGACAGCTGACAACAGAACAGACACTAGACCTGTTAAAAACAAGGTAGTTTTGTCTGCATTTGTACTTTTTATAACATCCTGAAACCCTTTGGTGTTGGGGAAAAGATCACCAAAGAGCTCACCATCATTCAAGCTTACCATCTTGTGCTCTTCTGAGAAATACAGTGTATTTAACTTATTTTAATAAGGACTTTCAATGCTAATCCTGAATCTTCAGGAAGAGATATGTTATTCAGTGCATCTTCTAAGAAAAACTATAAAGCACACTTTTGAAGTGTTTCCATACAAAGTAGTTAACATTTAGAAGCTTATATAGTGTAGAGTGAGTTTGGTTATGTGGGAAGTTCACTGACAGAGTGTTTCAGCGTCCAGCAGTGTTGTTCAAATGAAGCGCCAGTGTATTTACTGCAGCATTTTACCACTGCTATCTTTTGATAAGCCAAAGAATTTTAGTAAAATGAGATACAAATGTTGTACTGGAAGCAGATTTTAGATAGACTTACAATTAAAAACTTTTATAGTCATATACTTGTGTTCATGCTTACGATTTTGAACACTTGTTTAAAATTTGATTTCTCATCAACACTTTTATTTTATAGTAAGTGCTGGTAATTTTGCTCTTTTCTTCACATTCCCTGCAAATCCTGCCCTGCTTGCAACGATAGATTAAAACCAGACTGGCAGTCGGAGAACGCTTTCTATTGCAACCATGTGTGTCAGAAGAAAGGATTAGGTTTCCTTGTCCAAGAACATCAAGGGGAACCTCCACCTCTGCAGACACACCTCTATTCCTCAGTAATGGAGAGTTTATATCTAGTTAGATTTAAATGGGATAAGGAAAGAGTTTAAATCCACTCCTAGCTCCAGTAGTATAATCAGCCCTCAAGTTCCAAAGTATCCAATTTTGTTTCTCTAATTTAATTCTAAGTGTCAGGTTGGTATTAGATGCTGATCAAGGTAATGGAGAGTTAGCCTACACATTTATTCACTTAAAGAAGAATTTTGCAGAATGCAAAGACTAGATGGCATCTGTGTTCCAAACTTACTTAAAGCACAGTCCATTCACCTCTGACCTTTAATTTATATTGAATATATTTTTAAAATAATGGAATAGATTCCACAATGGAAGCAAACCCTTCTTTTCACGATTTTGGGTACAGCTATCATTCTCTGCTCTTGCTGTCATATCCTGGAATCATTCTGAGGACTTACAGTGAGGTGGGGTCCACCCTTGAGAGAGAGAGAGCTTCCAAGAGCCACTAAACTCTGGGAAACCATTACAATGATTTGGAGATTGTTCTTTCTCACCCTTGTCTTAATTCTAGTTCTACCCCTCATTTTGCAGCTTATGAAATTGGCCCAAAGATATTAAGTACCATGACAAAAATCACACAAGGAGAAAGAGCAGGAATGGAAAGAACTTCAGTTTCCAGACGAGGGCCCCACTTTAAGTGACAGCTCTGTGAAGCGGAGTAGCTACACCCGGGCTGGTCCGAGGGCAAGGCTTCACCTAACGCTCATCCTCCTGTCAGGCTTCCTCCTCAGAGCAACTAAATGGCTGATTTTTAAAGGGCTGATGCTTTCATCTCTCCGCCCCCCAAATTAAAAGATGCTCTTCCCCTGGTTGTTGTTGTTGAGAAAGTGCAAATTATAGCACCTTCTTTGTGTGAGGATATTTGGCAGGAGGCTTAGCTGGTCTTTGGGAAAGCTACTTATGGGTTTTAAGGGAGACATTACTATCACTTTTTTTCCTGGCAAGTGTCAGCTAGCAAAATGAAGAGAGAGGCTTGGTGATGTGGATAGCAAGGCAGAATGTTTCTCAGAATACTTGTTCCTTAAAATTAAGGGCCAAAGCCATACGTTTTTTTTTCCAGATTTAACTTCCTACCTTAGGGACTTGCTTTCCTGCTCTGCAATGATGAGACATTTTGAGGTTGGGAGAAGGCGGGGAGTTGTGGGGAGAGAGCAGACCTCGGTGAATAATTTGCCTGTATTGGTCTTCCGAGAACCGACTCTGTTACTTCAAGAGTCTTTAGGGTGCAGAAGCAGGAGGAGGATGGATTATGTGGGATGCTGCAGGCCCCGGAATTCCTGTTCATGTTTAATGTTCTCTCTTGATACTCTGTCTGACTGCCATTTCAACTTTAGAGTAGAAGTCTTCAAAGAAGACAGAGAATTGCTCCCTTAAGGAAGTGTGGATCTAGAATAGAGAGAATAATTTTGGAGAAATGTAAGAGACTGTTTCCAAAATTCCCCTCAGTCTTCAATGTTCATTCTTCAGTGTTCACCCTCAGTCTTAGGACATATGTTCCATGGAGGAAATGGAGCTTGGAAATGAGCAAATTAAAGTTTAGGAAGAGCATTTGACGTTGTTGTCTCTGCATGCCGTAGCTTTTCCAGATGGTATGACCCTAAAGACAAGACATTTGTTATCTTCACACTCTACATTTAAATCACCAGCCTTTGTTCCCAGCCACTTCTGAGTTTATGTTTTAACAAAAAGGAACTGCAGCAAGGTCTCCAAAAAGCTTCCTGGAGTGATTTTTAGATAGACTCTCCTCTATTTTGTCTATGAAATCAAGCTACATTAGATCCCTTCCTACACCCTGTCTGTCTGGTGTAATACTAGGACCCTAGCCATGACTATTGCTTAGATCTTGATCTTTCTAAAAACAACATCAGAAGATATCTTGATCTCTCTAAAAACAGGGAGTGGGAACCTCACTGTCTCAGTCAAATCTCCTCTCTACCAGTTAGAGTCCCTCGGCCTTTCCAAAACTCACTGACAGTTGTAATCGGCCTTTCCAAAACTCACTGACAGTTGTAATCGGCTTTGCTTTGCTTTACTTTTTGTTTTTAATAAGTAGAATTGAGCATGAACTCAGGGAAAATTTGTATGCGAGACCAGCAATTTTGAACCAGTGTGCTGCAAGAATTT